ATATGCTGTATACATATTAAATAAATAAATCTTTAAAAAATTTTTTTTTCGAGATAGGATTTTTCTACATGATAGTCCTAGCTGTCCTGGAACTTGGTTTGTAGACCAGGCTGGCCTCGAACTCACGGAGATCCGCCTGCATCTGCCTCCCAAATTCGAAATTTTGACTGTAAAAATATGAGGAAGGCGGAACCGTCTAGTAGGCTGTGTACTAAAAGACGAAACTTCCTTTTTGAATCAGGTTTGCTCCAGAAAGAGAAAATGGCAGTCGAAGCATTTCAGATTTGTTGTCTCCTTCTGCCTCCTGAGAACAGGAGAAAGTTACAGCTGCTGATGAGGATGATGGCGAGGATCTGCTTAAACAAAGAGATGCCACCGCTGTGTGATGGCTTTGGCACCCGCACTCTGGTAGGTTGACCGTTCACATCTACTGTGATCTATGTTTTCCGTCGGAAATGCAACCGAATCCCTGTTCTGAGTGGGCAGGTGAGAGCAGGAGGCAGGCTTGCTTGAAGAGCGCGGCCTGCTGTCCACCCAGACTTTCTTTGCTGTGGGGCGTTTACCCACCAACCCCACAGTTCCCCAGAGTTTTCTTGAGTGTTAGCAGCAAGAAATATTAGATAGAAGGATTTATTGCGTAGAATCTTGTGGAGATAAACAGATAGAAAATAAAGGATAGCCTTGAGAGGGCCTGGAAAATTTTCCAATGGGCCCCGACTGTCTCTGCCCCAGGGTTTTTATAGAGACGCCAAGGGGTGGAGCAAAAGACTCCTCCCCCAGCACAGCCAAGTGCAGACCATCTCAGACACCTGCACTCAGGCCCGTGGTCCTAATCATCCTCTGTGCGGATCTGCTGAGTAAAGACACAAGGAACCCAAGAACAGGCTTCCACTTTGCTTTTGGTCTAAGGACCTTGAAGAACACAGTGCAAAGTGAAGAGGGAGTAGGGAACATGTTCTCCCTTTAGAAATGGCCGCTATGTCCTCGCTTACAAATGGCTACCCATAGTCCACACGAAGACAGCTAAGGTGGGCAGACAGCGTAGGAAAACCACATTCTCTTGTTCCTGCACAGGGGACACTGAGGAGTCTTTGTGATTGTAACAAGCGAGAGAGATAGCCTGGGCAATGGTAGGAGAAGCAGAGGTAGTAGATTCAAGCAGGCGTGAGAACACCCAGCTGGACTAGACCACGGGCAAGGAGAGGGAGATTTTTTTTTTTTTAATTGACAGTTTCATACATTTGTGGATTCATGTGCTCTTCTGATACATGGCCTCACTGTAGAAATATTTAATTAAAACTATTAATATGTCTGTCACATCACTTACTTATACTTTTCTAGCAGTTTTGACACGTTCCGTGTGTTATTAGTAGCTGTGGCTGTGGTGCCGTGGATAGATTCCTCCAACTCTCTCCTAATTGGAACTCCGTAAGCTTTAGCCAGGATCTTCCTCCACGCTTCTTCCTGCCACTGTCCACTGCAGATTGCATTCCGCTTCTCTCAGTTTTCCTCCGAAAGAGTCTTGTAGAGAGATGTTTCTTTAATCCCATGTGTGTCCTCCTTGTGCTCTTGAAATCACTGCTCAGTTTCTGGGGATCACCCAGTCCAGCTTTAGGGAAGCATGCACTGCCCAACTGGGGTGACTCTTGACCCCTTCTCGGGTTAAAGGGACCTTTCTGAAAAGTCAAAGAAAACTTGTACCTCTTCCTTATAACAACACACACACACACACACACACACACACACACACACACACACACACACACACACATTTTAAACATGATTTCAAAGCATTCTTAAATCTACTGAAATTTATTTCCAAGCAAAAATTTCTGACTCTCCTTATATATATATAAATATGAAGATAAAACGGCACAATGTTGATGAAAGCTGGTCTTAATACGACTAATCAACAGCACCATGTGACTTTGTTTGTAGGCTTTGATGTGAGTTTGTTGGCAATGAAATTAGAAGGAAAAGGAAAAAGGTTAATCCAGAACATAGAATTGAAGGAAGTAATGATATGAACTCCATGGAAACTGTATTGTTTACATTAGTTACATATTTATATTTCTGGTTACCATAAAAAGTCTTGTCACTTGATACATGGCTTCTTTGTTCAAGGCCAGTTCTCAAGTGTGTATCTCAAAGTGTAGAGAAGCTAAGTTAGCCAGGGGAAGATGCCGGTTGATGAACACAGTCAATACAAGCAGTGGAACTAGGGTGTTGTTTGGCCAAGTGGCTGCAAGTACCTTGAACTTTGAAGTGCTTAATTCATGTAATGTTCAGAATATATGTATGTGCATATGTATAGGTATGTGTGCATGCAAATACATATGCATATAAACCCTTGTATAAAATGGAGTTTTGACAATTCTCAGACAAGCTTCTCCGGGCTAAGTCTCTTAAGGGGAGATTGCCATATGAGTTGGCCATGTGACTGGTGCCTGGTGGGATGTGCACCTCTCCCCAACTCCTCACATGTGTCTTTTGCAAACTAACTGGCACTCTGTTTAGAGAAGGCCACAGATTTCTGCTATTTTCACCCTCTCTGCTTTTCTTTTAGATGGTTCAGACATTTTCCCGGTGCATCTTGTGTTCTAAGGATGAAGTGGACTTAGACGAGTTGCTAGCTGCTCGGTTGGTGACATTTCTGATGGACAATTACCAGGAGATTCTCAAAGTGCCTTCGGCCCTGCAGACCTCCATAGAAGAGCGTGTGGCTCATCTGCGAAGAGTCCAGGTAAAGATGAGACATTGTCAGTTCTGTCAGAATGACAGTGGGAAGCCACGTGTGCCAGCCTCCTCTGGCATCCATAGTAAGAATTAAGTGAATTGGTGTGAGCCAAGTGCTTACAATAGGTCTTGGCATGTACTAAATACTGCATGAGTCTGCTGTTACCATGGATAACTGTGGGATACATGTTTGTTTTATTATATCACTCACTGCTATATGGGTATTAACCTAATACATTGAACAAGTTTGGAAATATAGATTGTACATACAGAAAACTGTCAGAGTTACACTACAATGTCCGTTTTATTTATATATATATTGATCTATATGTATGTATATATGTATATATATATTTTTTTCTTTTCTCTCTTCCTCGTATTTTAAATGTAAGACTGTGGCTTTAAATGTTATTCTTTTGAAAACACGAAAACCTTCTCCTTTTCGATATGGCTCCTTAAGCAAACTGAAGAAGATATCCCACTCCTACCAGGAGACATGCTGGTTTTGATTTAATCTAATCCTGTGCTTTGCCTCAGATAAAATACCCAGGAGCTGATATGGATATCACGTTGTCTGCGCCCTCATTCTGCCGTCAAATCAGTCCTGAGGAATTTGAATACCAAAGGGCTTACGGCTCTCAGGAGCCCCTGGCAGCCTTGTTGGAAGAGGTCATAGCAGATGCCAAACTCTCCAACAAGGAGAAGAAGAAGAAGCTGAAGCAGGTGACGAAGCTGGTCTTCAGGCGGTGTCTTGCTCTCCGTTCTGAGTTTTCTTCCTTTTACTCTCTCTTTAATGGGCTCCATGTGAATCTCATAAGGGCTTACGAGTTTCTCGTTAGGTTCTGTGTTGCAGAAATTCGGGTGATTGGTACACTGCAGTCATTTTCACGAGTTCTGTCGTGTTTTACAGTATTGAGTGCTTCTCTTGTAGACTTAGGTTCTAATATTTGTCATTTGTTTTGCTACCTGACATGATATGAGTCAGCCAAACAGTTACTTCAAAGAAACAGACTATAAGGAAAATATTTAATGTGTGCGCATGTGTGTGTGTGTGTGCCCATGTGTGTTTGTGTGTGGTGTGTGTGTGGTGCATAGACCACAGCATGCATGTTTGTGTGTGTGTGTGTGTGTGTGTGGTGCATATACCACAGCGTGTATGTGTGTGTGTGTGTGGTGCATAGACCACAGCATGCATGTTTGTGTGTGTATGTGTGGTGCATAGACCACAGCATGCATGTGTGTGTGTGTGTGTGTGTGTGTGTGTGTGTGTGTGTGTGTGTGCGCGTGTGTGGTGCATAGACCACAGCATGCGTGTAGAGGTCAGGACACCTATCAGGAGTCAGTTTTCTGGTGCACCTCGGTGTTCAGCCTCTGCAAAGGCTCCTCTACTCACTGAACCACCTTGCAGAAACTCTTATTTTTAGATAGGCAATATCAGTGTGGTTTCTTGTCTCGGACCCCACTAAGTGTTCCAACCAGCCAAACACAGTTCCTCTTGAGTAAGGCAACACAGTGAGGGTCTTAGAGAACAGTTTTTATTCAAAAAGGTGCATTGCATCACTTCACTGCGTCATCACTTCACTACATCATCATCACTACACTGCATCATCACTTCACTGCATCATCACTTCACTACATCATCACTTCACTGCGTCATCATCACTTCAGTGCATCACTTCACTGCATCATCACTATCATCATCACTTCATTGCATCATCATCATCATCATCACTTCAGTACATTGCTTCACTGCATCACTTCACTGCATCACTGATAGAAGCAACTTAAGGGGTGGGTAAGGTTTCATTGGCATCAAGTATCAGAAGATATATTCACTGTGTCAGGTAAGGGATGATGGAGCAATTTGGGTGTGGCAGTAGGAGCATGTCTAGAGGCTATTCATGTCACTGTGGGCCAGAGAGCATCCGTGGGAATGGGTAGGGTAGGAGACCTGCAAGGACCCTCCAGTGGTTCCCTTCCTCCAGCCAGGCTCGGCCTCCCAGTTTTTAGGACCTCCCAAAGTCATGCCCCAGGTGAGAACCACGTATTCAAAGCACGGCACTAGGAGAACATTTCCCATCCCTGCCTTGCATGCACTTGGCTATCCTTAAAGACTGTTCTTCACGCAGGTGGACGGTATTTAGTTCTCTTTTTGGTTGTTTTTTATTTTTTCAGACAGAGTCTCACTCTAGCCCAGGACAGCCTTGACCTAGCCATCCCCTCATCTCTGTCTGCGGGGTGCTGGCATTAGAAGTGGTGCCTTGCCACTCCTGGTTTTTGTACTTTACTGCACAGCTGGATTCCTGGACACAATTTACACAGGATTATTCCCTGAATATCGAGGTTTTGGACTTCATTCTCATTTTTCTTCTGCTGATGCTGGAGAAGTGTTGAGTGGTGAATATTGAGGGAAGAATACATTACCTTCCTTTAAATATTCCATGGATAATACCATGTTCTTTCTTCTCTTTGTTGGGTAGAAGCTGGCCAAGCTGAGTTGGAGAAGCAGAGGGATCATAAAAATGGTTGGGCCAGACTTTTCTAATTGTGTAGAACAAAGTTATTTTCAATTCAGTCTTACTTGCGACTGGTATTAACAGTGAGGTCTAGATAGAGTTGACAGTGAGAGCATTTTGAGGGATTTGATTACAAGGACAATTTCATCTGAATACTGGATCAAAGGAAAGATGAGGTAGAGCTGTGGGCACCAGCATCAAATAATTTAACAAAAGTCAAGGAAAACAGAGATCAAGAACTCTTACAATTTGATTGTACAATTTTTGTGGCTCTTTTGTGTCTTTTTTTTGACTGATGTTGGACTTCTGTTTAGTTTCAGAAATCTTACCCTGAAGTCTACCAGGAGCGATTTCCTACACCAGAAAGTGAAGCACTTCTCTTCCCTGAAAAACCCAAGCCCAAACCACAGCTGTTCATGTGGGCGCTGCGGAGGCCTTTCCAGCCATTTCAGAGAACGAGAAGTTTCCGGATGTGATTCAGTGACGGAGCTTTAGAGACCTCAGTGGTAGAGACAGTTTTGAGTCAGTTGAGGTATAAACTACTGAAATATGGAGTTTCGGATTATTTGACTCTCAAAATGTTGAGCCATTGCCAGTATTTTTATAAATCTCAATGCTGTTTTTAGAGATGTGCAAATCAGTGAATGATTGCAAACCAGGTGTGTAGTGGTGGTGTAACAAGCTTGGGTTGTTACCGAATCGAATGGTAAAGTGTTCCCCTCCTTCTGTTTGTTCTTTTCCATAGTGTGTCAAGTTCTCGTGTGTGCTTTCTAGTCACTGACACCTCTGTGAAACCCAAGCCTAAGAATGCTGTACATACTTGAATAAGAACACCACTGTGTGCTGTTACTGTGGTGGCTTTGATGTGGTTGCCAATTGTGTGACTTCTTCTGTGTAAATCCCGTTTTCTTGTTGTTGTTACTGTGTGAAAGTCCCTACTGTCTCTCATCGTGATGGCTGTGCCTCTTATTCCAGATTTCCAGGTGCCGTGAGAGTCACCCGCACTGGCTCTTCGGCTGCCCATCTCATCAGTCCGCATACGCCTAGGTGTGGAGTAGATGTGCATCTGCCCACAGTCATGTAATTCCAGTCTTAGCTAAAGATGGAAGGTGGAGCTGATGGATTCTTTGGGTTCCCTGTAAATCTAAATTAAATCTTTGTTTGGTTTTATGAAAGGTATCAATGGGTAAGATGAAATTAGTTCCTTTATGAATGTATTTTTTTAGCTTGTTCATCCTTTTGAAAGTAAATGAAATGTAAATAAATACTGAGTTTTTTTAATATTATGCCTAATGTTTTTCTTTTAAGGTAAGTTATGGAGCCTCCTCAAATGCCTTTGCCAATATTTTTACATCACTCTGTTATCAGAAAGTGAGTGAGGTGTTTTTTTTTTATTTATTTTTTATTTTATTTTATTTTACAATACCATTCAGTTCTACATATCAGCCATGGGTTCCCCTATTCTCCCCCCTCCCAACCCCTCCCCTTACCCCCAGCCTACCCTCCATTCCCACCTCCTCCAGGGCAAATCCTTCCCCGAGGACTGCGATCAACCTGGTAGACTAAGGTCCAGTCCCTTCCTCCCAGACTGAGCCAAGTGTCCCTGCATAAGCTCCAGGTTTCAAACAGCCAACTCATGCAATGAGCACAGGACTTGGTCCCACTGCCTAGTTGCCTCCCAAACTGATCAAGCCAATCAACTGTCTCACCTATTCAGAGGGCTTGATCCAGCTGGGGGCCCCTCAGCCTTTGGTTCATAGTTCATGAGTTTCCATTCATTTGGCTATTTTTTTTTTCATTAATTGAGTAAAACCGAAATTTATTATAAGCCACAGTCGTCCTAGGGACCTCCATGCTATATATATATAGCCTCTATGGTTCTATGGGTTGTGGTCTGATTGTTCTTTATTTTATATCTAGAATCCGTGAGTGAGGTTTTTTGTATTGGTTTCAAGAGAGTGCCCCCCTCCATGTCTGTCTCTCTGTCTGTCTCTGTCTCTCCCTCCTTCCCTCCTCCACCTTTTTCTTCCTCCTCCCCTCCCTTCTCTCTCCTTTGTTTCTTCTGCAAAATAGTGGAGCATCTGCAATACTTGTGAGAGTAATTGCCTGAACTGACTTTGTTCTCTTCCCCTTGAGATCCCGTTTTCTTGTGGCAGAGTATCTTCTGTGGTCAGCAGAGATTTGCCCACTTAAAAAGGGAGAAGTGTCCCTGTTGGTGTGAGAATTGTTCCAAACATTTAATAGGAAGGGGATTTTCAGACTTTTAGCCTTCTTAGACATTTTGTTGAAGCGAAGTACAGTTCTGGGTTCTGCTCAGTCTTGCCCCCTGGTGGAGAACCCCTTTGTCTGCTGCATCTGGAAGTGTGTGTGACTGCTTCCTTCCCTTTCTGTCTTAGGCTCATTTCTTGAAACGTGTAAAATTCTTAGGTAAGCGCCATAAACCAAGTCTACAACTGATGCCGGGTAGCAACAATTTTCCTGAGTGGTTATTCCAATGAACACATGCATTTGAAAGACCCCCGAAGGCAGTCTTCCCTCTGAAGAGACCCTCGCCCAGAGATCACACCGAGACCACGAGTCAGATGCAAACAGCAAGAGGCTTT